CTAAAACTTTGTTCCCATCTTGGTCAACCCTTGGATTGCAGAAGTCCTGTAACTGTTCTCTTGCAAAGCACTTGACTTACTCAGTGAATTCTGCTATCAGGCTGACCTTCTAAAACATATACCGTGTTATGGCTCTTTTGGGTGATTATTATGCCTACAGCATGAGTGCAGCATCCCTAACAGCCTAGGTGTTGCATGGCCTTCGGTCCATCTCTCTTGAAAGACCTCTCTGCTTTCATCATAGCAGATGACTTACCTCTTTGCAGCCAGGTGACATATGAAAACACACTGATTAACTAACCAAGGCTACATTCCAGCAGCTCCTGCTGAAATTGATCTCCAGGAGTCCCAGTGAGACTAGCCAGTTCACATCACAGGCCTTTTGCACAGCCTGTCTCTTTGTCCTAAGTAAGAAAGATACTTACCTTTTCATCTGAGGAGTTTTGTGGCCCCTTTCAGTATTTTCACATTTTGAGATCCATTTGTTGATGCAAAGATCCATGGCCAGTTCTGATTTTACTAAAACTCTGTTGGGTTAAACGTGTGGGGAAAAAAAAAGGAAGTTCACTGATAATAAATATTTAGATCAAATCCCTGCTACCTAGGAGATTGCCTGGCATTTATATGCCCAATGAATATTAGTTAAATTGAGTAAGTATTTGTCAGAGAATTAGAAGTCACTAAAACACAGACTACTTCCATTATGTTGAGAATGATTTTATGTGATTTAAAGGCATTTATGGCATTTTTCTGTACTTCACGCCTATTACGGGACAAATCTTATTATGTTGCAGTGGAAGGAAGAGGATTCTATAATCAGATTAATTGAACATCCAATTATATTTATTTCATCGGTTTCCTCTCCTGGGCACTGCCCTTCTCTAGAGCTAGTATTCTGAAAGATCTGTGCCTGCCAGAATATGGAGTGGAGTGGATTTGGGCAAGAGGAAGAACTGAATATTATATTTGCTTGATAAACCGAGGGTTGAATACTTGGACTGACTGTGCCCTGCCCTGAGGGACAAAGTAACCCAGAAGAAGATAGTATCCACATGTTCCCTGGGGTTTCTCCATTTCCTAGTCACAGGCCCAACCCTGATGGGGTTAAATTGCTGAGTGTATTAGTGGTGATGGAAGGCAACGCCATTCTCCAGGAATCCTCTTATGTGATCTTTCAGACAAGACACAAACTATATATGGCTAAGCCTTATGTCAGGCTTTCTTGCCTGGCTCTCACATAAGCACATATAATGGTGATATCATGTTTGCAATTTCTTTGCCACAATTACATTTTAATGACATGGTCAATATTTCCTGGAAACAAATTCTTTTGACACAGGTTAAGGCATTATTGTGGGTAATAATGAAGATTGCAGACTTTCAAAGGAGATTTACCGAAATCAACTTGTAGTCTTTTTCTTTTATGCCCATCCTTAGCCAAGGTAATAACGATGTGGTAATAAGGCTTCTTTATAGTTTCCAAGCCACTTTTGTAGCATTATCTAGTTTAATCTCAACAACCCATTGAAGTAGCTGTTAGTTCTTTTTAGAAGAATCTGAGGCTAATGAAGTTTTTGATGACATAGCAAGTAGGAGACCCAGCTAGAACTGGAGCCCAGGCAGATTTGACTTTAACCTTGCTTTCCTCAGTCTGTCCCGGTTGTCTAAAAGGGGGTGTAAAGTATAGGGGAGGCATTCCATGCTGACAAACTGTGGTGTGTAATGGACAGTGTTTGTTCTAGGTTTACGGCTAAAACAAGTCACAAAACTATTAAAGTCTGGAAATAAACCCTAAAACAAAACCCAGAGAAACAAATTATTCATCTGGGGAAGCGAAGGCTGAAGAGTGGTTGAATAATAAGTCTTTTGGTCTACGAAAGAGCCTTACTGAGGGAGGAGAGGGAGCCCAGCTGTTCCTAATCTACACTGGGGCCAGGCCTAGGGAGGAAAAAAAGCAAAGAAAAAAATGTTAAACTATAACAGAAGGAATAAGAAAGAATTTTTTATAGTATTGTTAAATATTGGATCTGTTAGACTGTGTTAAGTCTTAAGTCTCCTTTCCTGGCAGTCATTAAAAATTCCTCTTTACTGCATGGTCTCAAGTATGATTCCTCTAGAAAGAAGGATTTTGAAAAAGATTATGTGTCTGAAAAGCTATTCACTGACTGCTCACTAAATCCCAGTTAAGAACTGGAGCAGAGGTAGCTTGCCTAACTCTCCAGTTAGGTGTGTTCTCCTAGTGCATTGACTGGCTACCGCCTCCCGCCAACCCCCATCTCATACAACTTCACAGTTGTTCATTCCTGAGCAGCTCCTGTAAGCAGCCAGTCTTTGTGGGGAATTCTAGAGCTGTAGATTAAGATATTTATGTACTCCAATCTGGAACTTTCACAGTCCCATATTTAGAGATACGTAAATTAGCACCATTGACCTCATAAAGCAAGCCTGGCATCTCATTTGCTCCTTGGCTAGGAATGCTATCTGTCTAGTTCAGCACTGGGACCAGGTATGTGGGGCTCACATTGATGACTTGAATTGGACAAGTAATCATGTAGGATTGTGTTAGCTAATCAAATAATGGTTTAGTGTTTTTCCCCCTTCTGTTAATACATAATGTTACTACATTAGGAAAATGTCACCAAGTTCTATTTATTTGTTTGTTTTTCCTTCTGTTAATACATAATGTTACTACATTAGGAAAAATATCATCCATTTCTATTTATTTGCTTGCCTCCCTTTTTCAGCCTTGTATGATATCCTTATGTGAGAGCCAGGACACGTCTTTTTCTCTGAATTCCAAGATCCAGTAAGGATCAGGATTTTTGTGGAATCAACAATGACCTTGAATTTCACGAGGACTAATTAATAGAAAGAGCCATGCTGAGGTGTATACCAGCTTTTATAGATGAAGTGATGAAAACCAGCTAGAAATGAGTGACGGGAAGAGCATGTGGTATTGAGGTGTACAGGTGATAGCATGGGGAAAAAAAAGGTGAATTTTGCTTTGAATCTGACTAAACCAAAAGTTCTCCAAATCATAGAGCACTTGTGAGAAACGTGAACTCTTGAGGTCCCATCACGTTTCTAATAAATCAGAATTCTTAAGAGTGAAGCTTAGCAATCTAACACATCCTGGGAGGGATTCTGATAAGCTCTCAGATTGGAACATCACTAGATTAGAGGGACAGTGAAGGGATAGAATGTGTAGAAATACAAAGATATATGTGTCATTCTTATACCTAGTTATAGTTTTTTATCAATTGAAAAATATGAAAATGAGATCATTGTTATAGAGAAAGCTGAATTCATTGTGAGGAGATATAGACCACCAGAAGTTTGGATCACTGCCTTCCTCATTTAATATTTAACTAGATAATATAAATTTTATCAGAAATGACTGGACTTATAAAAATCTGTACCCAAATTCCCAGTCCCATGTTTACAGGTTGGCCACCAAGGCATCTCATAGAAACCTTGACTTTGAAAATTGTCAAAGCATATATTCATGTATTTCCCATGTTAGCGCACTGGGTCTCCATCCAGTCATTTACTCCAGTCAGTTATTTTTGTTTAATTCTTGTCAAATAGTGTTAGCTCTCCCACCTCACTGTAGATTTCAACATTCTTTTTTCCTTTGTCCCCACTGATAAGTGTATAATTTACACCACCACTAGCTTCTCACTAGATCAACCTAACAGCCTGTTAAATGGTCAGTGTGCATCCAGCCTTCTCACAGCTAGCAGAAAGCTATTGTGAAGAGTGGCCAGAGCAAGTGTCTACAGAGCATATCTGATTAGCGTTTTGCTTAGAGTGTTCACTGAATCCTGTTACCTTCCTGGTGAAAACCCACCTCCTCACCTGAGCGTCTAACCTGGAGCCTGTAGGATCTGTCTCTTGCTTTCCTTTCAGTCTTCTACTTGTCCTTCGCTCTGGCTCTTCATATTGCTCCTGCTTAATTGTTTTTAGTTTCATCACCATATTGACCCTGCTGCTCCTCCCCAGGGCCTGCTTAGATAGCTCCTCACCAGGTACCTGTCTCTAGATGGGGTTGAAGGCATAGTGCCCCGAATTTCCCCTTGAAAATCAATTTCTCCATCTCCCTGTATTTGCCTGTTTGTCTTATATATCATGCTCTTACAGCCCCCCTCTTTTAGCCTAGGTAAACTGTAGCCTCTACCATGCTCACAACTGTCTTTCATTCTACTATATCAGTGTCTCCAGCACAGCTGGTAAGTAGTAGATGGACCACAAACATGGTTAAGTAAATAAGAACCAATATTTGTATGGCACTTGGAAATAATTTTAAAGGTTACTGGATCAAATTTATGTTTGCTACCCTAAACTTTCATTCTGCTCATTTATCCATTTATCAAGTAATTATAAAATACCTTTGTGTACCAGGAATTACGATAGATGCCCTGATTCAACTCTGATAATACCCAGGTAGACTTAGCATCGGTGCTTATCATGTCGTACAGAAAATAAACGATTAAAAAGTACATTCTGTCCGAAGTATAGAGGCCAAGAAAGGAAGATGGGATGCTAAGGGAACCCCAGAAAGGCAGCCAAGCCACATTTTAGAGCCAGGAGGAAGTGATACGTCAGCCAGTACTTAATTTTTCAGTTGAAGAATGGAGACACATGCTCCATGCAAAAGAAGAAAAAAATATATATATACTTTATAAAGTGACAGGGGTACTTGAAGAAGGAACTGGGGGCACCGGGCACTGGATTAGAGAGACTTGTGTTCTAGAATGGTTACCAGGTGGACAGTTTTTGATGGGCCAGAAGGGAGATAAAGCAACTAGAAGGAATCCCAGCGGAGGGGAGAGCTTCCAGACTTCTTTGGGAGATGGTTTGTAGTAGTTAGAAAGTGATGAATGCATGAGGAAAATGTATTTTGGACAAAAGAGCTGACAGTTGGCAATAGATTAGATTAGATTAGTAGACTGAGGGAAGGGATCTCTTCTCTCTTTTTAATCCCATTTTCTTTACTGCAGCTCCTGGCAAGTATGAGGCAAGGATTTCTTGAAGCAGAATTGCAGCAGAGCTCTCCACCACCTTGTGGATAGGCTGCTGAGTCCTGAAGGGATCACAGGAACAGGGAAAAGGTGAGTGCTGCCTCCGAAGGGGATTGGTATTTGTATGGGAGAATCGTTCCTCATGTCTGGTTTAGTGGAAGACGTCACCAAGCAACCTGTATTATTCAAGGGTCATTTTTGTTTCCTGTGTTTGAACTTGTTAAGCAGAAGGTCTCTGCCACTAATTCAATCTAGGACACATAACCAGCATTAAAATTCACTTCTTGAAAATGTCTTGTGTTGCCAGAGATAGTCCTAATGTCAAGAAGTACAAATTCATTTTAGGATGTTTTCAGTTCTGTTACTGTTTAATAGATAACATTTAACATCTACCTTTAAATAAATTTCATAAGATAATAGAATTTGAAAGGAATTGAAGGGTCATTTTTGTCTCTAGCCTTGTGTTTTGCATGGTGAGATACCCAAGGTGGAAGGAGGATCAGATGAAAACCCTCCTTTATGATCTACTAGCAGGAGCTGATGTCCACAGGATCCATACCTTTAGTGGGAGCCTGGGTTCTGGATGGTACTGTTGGGGGCCTCTCAAAGGCTCGAGATCATGTTTAAGTTTAGTGTGCTGAAAATTCATTTTACTATCTTTATTTTTCCCTTAGTCTTATTGTTAAGTAATTGAAAAGGATTAGATTATGAATATATATGAATATATATATATGCATATATGTGTGTGTATACATACATATACACATTGTAAGATAAGTACCCCTATTAAACAAACAGCCATTACAACTCATCAAGTGTGTGTGTGTGTGTGTGTGTGTGTGTGTGTGTGTGTGTGTGTATGTGTATCTTAGCCAGCTTCAAACAGGCATGCTGACTTATTAACTATAGTAGCCATGGTGTACAAATAGTCTCCAGAATTTACTCATCTTACCGCATCTTGCATTTGCAGACAAGGTCTCCCCATTTTTGTTATTACATTCTATTACATTGTAATCACAAGTTTGCCTTCAGCTTCCTGGAGTTCCACATGTTTAGATTCTCTATGAAAGTAGATCAAGCAAAGGACCCACTGAGAACTAAAGATAATGTGGGTCATGGTTTGAGTTTGATGGTTCATTTGTAAGATGTAACCGATCTCCACTGATCTGTCTATCAACTGCTGCAGTGACGGGTTTGCATTGCTGTGGTTTGAAATCTTAAATTACTTCTGAGGCATGCATACTGAGCTAACATTCATTAACTTTTTAGATTTACTTGTTGTTTTTAGTCTCCTTTAGCATCTATTTCTTTCCTTGTGTATTTATGAAATTATTATAGTATGTATCTTTACTCATGCTTTTTCTTGAATACTTTATCATATGTGTATCCAAAATACACATTAGTATTTCGGTAATGAAATGTAAGTAAAGTATATTTGAGAAAGATTAAGTGACTGCTTGAAAAACATACCCTTGAATCCCACTGAAGCACTGGAAATCACAGTGAGGTCTTGATTTAACCATCTATTACCGTGTTCTGAACAATCCATCCTTCTCTATTTGCTGTGTTATTGTGCCTCATTGGCAGTTTCAAAATTTGTATCTGTCTGACAGAATATCCAGCCAGGGAACATTTTGTAGAGGTATATTTCTGGAATCAGTAACTAGCTGCCCTCCCTCTCTCTTCACCTCCTACCCATGATTCCATTGCTGAGAGGGGATAAGGGGGCTGGATAAGGGGGGGGGGCAAGAAGCACGATGTAAAGAAAGTAAGAAGAAAAGAAAGAGAGGTTCCAATTAAGAAGAGATTGTTTGCTGTCTTTACGCTGTAAATAGCTCATCTTCTGTGTGTCCAGGCAGCTGAGGCAGTAATAGAAGATTGCCGCTGCTTGATGGTCCCTAATTGTGTTTTTCCTAGACAACTTCAGAGAAGACATGGCTGGCAGAGAGGAGAAGACGGGGAGTGCAAACAGAGTGCTGAGGATAAGTCAGCTGGATGCACTTGAACTGAACAAGGCTCTGGAGCAGCTCGTGTGGTCTCAGTTTACTCAGTGCTTTCATGGATTTAAGCCAGGACTGTTGGCTCGATTTGAACCAGAAGTGAAAGCATGTCTGTGGCTTTTCCTGTGGAGGTTCACCATCTACTCCAAAAATGCCACTGTGGGGCAGTCAGTTTTGAATATTCAGTACAAAAATGATTTTTCTTCCAACCCAAGATACCAGCCCCCAAGTAAAAATCAAAAACTGTGGTATGCTGTGTGCACCATTGGGGGGAGATGGTTAGAAGAACGATGTTATGATTTGTTTCGAAATCGTCATTTAGCATCTTTCGGGAAAGTCAAACAGGGCATGAATTTTGTGGTTGGACTTTTAAAATTAGGTGAGTTGATAAACTTCTTGATTTTCCTGCAAAAGGGAAAGTTTGCTACTTTGACAGAACGCCTCCTTGGCATCCACTCTGTATTTTGCAAGCCCCAGAACATGCGTGAGGTTGGCTTTGAGTACATGAATAGGGAACTTCTCTGGCACGGCTTTGCTGAGTTTCTGATTTTTCTTTTACCACTCATCAATATCCAGAAGTTGAAAGCCAAGTTGTCTTCCTGGTGCATACCCCTTACTGGCACTGCTAGTAGTGACAGTGCCCTGGCCTGCAGTGGCAGAGAATGTGCGCTCTGTGGAGAGTGGCCCACAATGCCTCACACCATTGGATGTGAACACGTGTTCTGTTATTACTGTGTTAAAAGTAGCTTCCTATTTGACATGTACTTTACCTGTCCTAAGTGTGGCATAGAAGTGCACAGTGTGCAGCCACTGAAATCAGGAATTGAAATGTCAGAAGTGAATGCTCTTTAGAAACCAAATTGTTTCCTCTGAGGGAAAAGGTATTGTGTCCAAGTCCTTGGTATTAGTCATCCTCAATATCATAGGTAGGTGTCTTTGAAAAGGCATGTGCTGCTCAGCCACTGTTCTCTTCTTTTCTAAGCACAACTCAATTCTAATCACTGGAAACTAAATGATACAAGAGAATCTTATAAATGCTCGTGTTATTTTTTTAAATCAGCTATTACATTTTTAATGTCAAGAATAATGGAAAATTTTTGTCAGGTGAATACTAAGAATGACTAAGAGTGCTTCTTCATAGAAAAAGGTCGGACTCTAAAAATAAAAGATTTTTGAGACTCTGGGATGAGTGTGCATTTATTTTCAGAAATGACAGAACATCATAAGCCAACATCATAAGACCTTGTTGTGTTAAACCTCAAGTTCTATAGTCTTGCTCATAACTAAGCTTTCCCCTGAAGCCAGTTTTCAAGAGGCTCAGTCCATAGCTGTCAGACTCCTTCAGAGTTGATTTCTTATATTCAGAATGTAAAAAGTGCTTCAGGCAGCCAGAAGTGAGATCTGGGGACTATGGTACAGCTAGTGTGAAGAACACTGTTTCCTAAGTCTATGTCCTGGATCAGAGCCCATGTTCTCACCAAGGGTATTGCTAATTTTATGAAATACTGGAAGTCTTCTATATAGTAATACTTAGAGCAATTCATATCAAGTCTCTTTTCTCTGCAGATTTCACTAAATGAACCCTTAGTTAAATGATATGAAAATACTGGGACTGTTTTTAATCACTTCACCAAAATAATAGCACTGATTTTTAAACAGTGTCAATTTTTGTGCCTTCATAATATGTTAATCTAATTAGTTCACACGTTAAATAGTATCTGCACTTTTTTATATTCAGGAAATATAACAAATTAACTTATGTTGATCAGTCTCAGGTTTTCATTAGAATATACTGATAGATGGTTTTTAAGAACAAACCTAGAGACATGAGTATATGATGTGGTAGACCATTGTCCATCTGTGTTCATATTTCACGCAACACTTAGGATGCTGATGCAGCTGGAGATAGAGCGGTGCCAAATACAGTTATGCCCATTGCTATGCCTAGCTTTGGGGTATGTGCACATTCCTAAGCCAGTCACGATGGGGTAGACTCCCAGTTATGTGGGTGACAGGCCCTCATTTATACCTTGTGAACATAAAGAAGTGCAGTGAGCAGGCTGGCCACTCCAAGAAACTAAAATGCTCTTAGGAGGAGGATGAGCCTTGGGCAGGAAGAAACAGCATTTCTTCAGCTTTCTGGTATGACAACATTGAAAGTGACTGGATGTCTTAGAATACAAGATAGAAGCTAGAAAAGATAGAAGTCAGTATGAGTCATACACTAACATCTTGTTATATTGTTGTTTTGATATGCTGGGTATAAACTTGAAGAAGCAACTCTTATTGTCATAATGAAAACAGTACTTTATACATATGTTAGCAAATACAGCTGACAGTACTTGGACATGATAATTTTTCTGTAGACATTATAGCACTATAAAATACATATTTTTTTTTAATTGTGAAGTTTGCTCTGTTGCCCATTACTCCTGGGCACTCAGGCAATCCTCCTGCTTGCCTCAACCAATCCAGTAGTTCTGGCTGTTTGTGTGTGTGTGTATGTGAATATGTGTGTGTATGTATGTGTCTATGTGTGTTTGTGTGTGTGTGTGTGTGTGTGTGTGTGTGTGTGTGTGTGTGTGTGTGTTTTGCAGATTTTGTTTGTTTTACCATCTATCCCCTACTAGATGGAAATTCCAGTGGTTAGAGATCCTGATGTTTGTTCTTTATCAGACAATCAAAGCCTTTTATTTCTATTCTGTCTTCAAGGAAATGCTGTTAGCTCAACACAGTGTCACAGATTAGATTGTTTAGCATCAGATGCTAAAGGTGGATGAAGTCTAAGAAATACATACAGTCATCTCTTGATATCCTGGAGAGTTTGGTGGCAGCCTCTTTGTGGGTATACTGAAATCTGCTGATGTTCAGATGTATGCCTTACAGAGGGTAGGCTGGTATTTACATGTAACAACGTGCGTCCTGCTATACATGAAATTGGCATAGATTCTTTATAATACCAGGAACAGCAGGAGTGCTGTATAAATAATCACTATTACTTTGTTAATAATGACAAGGACGAAGCTGTACACGATCAGTACAGATGTGACTTTTTAGAAGTCTGTTGAATTCACAGATTCAGAGCCCGTGGCACTCACTACAGGCTGCTGTGTATATTAGAGGTCCACATTTGTGGAAGGTGTGGACAATAAAGCAGAAACAGACAGAAATGGCAACTCCAACTCCAAGGGCAGCACTAGCACTTCCTAGTCCCTAGATGTGGGCTTCTCTGCGGAGGAAGGCGCTGGAAGTACAGCTGTTCCCTCCAGCTGAAGCTGATGCTTGAGGCAGTCTGCTCCCACCATCAAGACTGACCTTGATAGAATAGCTCGGTAGCATGTCTTAATATAGATAATATATAGTGTTATCTTAACATTTTAAATATAGTTGGTTTTTTTTCTCACTTAAGGGATACTTGACCTACAACAAGCTAATGGCATGGCAGGTAATCAATGGATTTATGAGTGACTGACACACTCAAATGCTTGCTCCAGGAGCTCTGCTTGCTGTAGACGGCTAGGCCTCCTGGCCAAGTTCTATGGCAGTCTCAGAGGTTTCTATTAGGCCCTGTCTCCCTAGGCACTGCCAGATTTGTTTGAATGTGAAGCAACAGTCTTTACTCCCCAGTGGCTCCAGAGCTCAACATTCAGGAAAACTGGATCATATTTGTTATGTGATACATCTCTACTTTAGCCTTAAGAACTCAGCTACCAGTTATTAATGATTTCCCTTTGTCAAAAAAAATTTTACACAGATTTTCTTCTCTCTTCCATGCAACTTGTTGTCAAGTCAGGGTCTCCCCTGTGTGTTACCTGTGAGGGTCCAGTGATGCATCTTAGTCACTGATGTGTCAGAGCTAGCCCTGTGTATGCCAAACTCCTCTGCATGCAACGGTGAGTGTGTTTGAACAAATGTATTTAACCTCTTTCACATTGAATGTGTTCCCCTGCAAAATAGGCATTTGATATCCACCTCTTTGTAATAGGAAATAAATGAATCACTTTCTCAAAAACTGTTTACCAGCCCCTGCAGTCATTCTTCAGTACTCAGAATGTATTTGGGAAGAAACCAAAAGCCTGCTCTCATGGCGTTTACATTCTTGGAGGTGTGCTAGGCAGAAGAGGCTTGCAGGAGAGAGCCCTGGTGTGAGAAGTCCACTGCAGAAAATAACCTGCTGAAGAATGCAGCAAGGGTGCTTGCTATATTGGCTCTGTGTCCAAGGAGCAAAGGGTGTAGGAAATGAGGTGGGTGAGGTGCTGCGCCAGGCCTGGCTGTGGCCACCTATAGAAGCCATGGGTAAAGTGTCTCAGCATAGGCCCTAGGTTCCAAAAAGTCAGCTCATGCACCAAGGACAGGTCCCGGTCCCACTGCCTGGGGGCCTCCTAAACAGTTTAAGCTCATCAACTGTCTAACTTATCCAGAGGGCCCGGTCCAGTTCCATGGGAGCTCCTCAGCTATTGGTTCACAGTTCATGTGTTTCCACTAGTTTGGCTATTTGTCCCTGTGTTTTTTCCAGTCATGTGCAGGGAGGAGGGGACTGGACCTGCCTCAGCTGAATCTACCAGGCTGGGCTGAATCCCCAGGGAGACCCTTGAATCCCCTTGGAGGAGGTGGGAATGGGGGTGGATTGAGGGGGAAGGCCAGGGGGTGGGAGGAGGGAGGACAGGGGAATCTGTGGCTGATATGTAAAATTAAATTAATTATAAAATAAAAATATTTATTAAAAAAAAGAAAAGAAAATCAACCACTGCCTTTTATAAAATTAACATAAAAAAGAAGCCATGGGTGAAAATCTGGATATATTTGAAGCACGAGAAAGTCATAGGAAGATTTGAAGCAAAGAAATGAGATGAACAAGTCTGCATTTTTAAGGGATTACTCTGGATAATTTGTGGGGAAGCAAAACTAACAGCAAGAAATTCCATACAATAATCATTGTGAGCTATGTGTGTTATTTCATTTGTGTTTGTGAAAGGCATCACCCATATCACAGCCTTGGGAAAACTCAGTAGGTTGTCAGAATCCATTCAGAAAGGCCTACTCCTGGGACAATTCCTCAGGACCCCATTCAAAGTCTACTATCATTTGAATAGAGTTCTAATGAACTTTCACCAGCAGACTAAAAATAACAGAAAAGGGAAGAAGGAAAACTGGTCTTACAGAAACATGTAATAGTGGGCAGCCTTATATCAAAGGAAGAAATTCTTTCTTTATATATAAAAAAAAAAAGCCTATAATCTAGCAGCAGCGTAGGAAGAGACGGCTCTGAGGCCTAACAGTGAATAGCAATTGTGGTTTAAAAAATGGCCTCGGATCATCAATAACAGCTACTTTTTGTTCTGTATAATTTGGTTAAGAAGACAGGGAAATTAGTATTGCTATATTTGAAGAAGCCTTCAAACTTGGCACTGAAAGGCAAAAACTTGATTTATTTGAAACATTCTCTTTTTAACCAAAAGCTGCTTTTCTTAATAGTACTCAATAAGAGACATGTCTTAAAAGGATATTTTCAGCAACAGAACAATTCTAAATGTTCTTTTCAACCAAACAAGTTGGCCAAATTCTCTATAGACTGATGGACTTTGGTTATCTGAAACTATACCTAGTTCTTTCTGTTTATATAAACCAGTATGAACTGTGCATTTACCTTCATGAACACCAGTAAGTAAACAAGTGTCTTGTGTGTGTGCACTCGCATGCTTCAAAGAGTATGTAAAATGTGAAATAACAGATTTTGTTTTTCTTTTTGTTTCCAGGTAACTTTCTGTTTTCTTCAAGGAAAAGCTTACAGTTTTAAACTTAAAAAATAAAATAAAATGCAAGCACCATTTTGCACAATGTCCCTCATTGACTCTCTTGAGTTATTGTTTTGGCAACTGTAATGAGTCAAACAAGGTTAGAGCCACTTACTCCTAAAGCCAGGAGATCCAAAAAGGATTCTATTCTTCTCCTCATTAACTTTCTTTTTTATTAATCATAGAATAATATGTTCTTCTTAACATGTTTAACGGGCCTTTTCTAAACCACAGAGCCAAAAAACATAAATCTTTTGAGTTAAGTAACACTGACTTTCAAAATCCAGCTGATGTGGACATATTTCTTTCCATCAAAATCAACATTGATCAGAAGAAAATTTATGTATTATGGGAATAGATTTATTGAAAATATGTTCAGTGCAGTGCAC